CTCACCTCAGCCTCCCAAAGGCGCGGGATTACAGGCTGAGCCACCAAGCCCGGCTTGTTAGGGGTTTTTTAACACAATTGACTCCATTTTGATTCTGTCAACTCTCTCAGAAGGAACACAAATTCTAAAAGGAAGAGAAAAATACAAATACAAATGTTTGGGTGCGGTGGCTCACATCCATAATCCCAGCACCTGGGGAGGTGGAGGCGAGAGGATTGCCTGAGCCTAGAAGTTTGAAACCTAAGCAACATAGCGAGACTTTGTCTGTACTAAAAATAAATAAATAAATAAATAAATTAGCCAGGCATAGTGGTATGCACCTATAGTCCCAGTTACTCAGGAGACTGAGGCAGAAGGATCACCTGAGCCCAAGAGGTGGAGGCTGCTGTGAGCTGTGACCTGTGATCTGTGCCACTGCATTCCAGCCTGTGTGACGGAGTGAGATTCTGACTCAAAATAAATAATAAATAATGATATTAGCTGGGCGTGGTAGAGTGTGCCTATAGTTCCAGCTACTTGGAAGACTGAGGCGGAAGGATCGCCTGAGCCCAGCAGGTGGAGGCTGTGGTGGCTCTGAGCATGCCACTGCACTCCAGTGACAGTGTGAGATTCCGACTCAAAAAAAAAATGATATTATTCAATGTCAACAGGGTTGATGAGGAAGTGAGCCTTGTTAATAATTGCTGACAAAAATATAATTGATAATACCTTCCTGTAAATCAATGTGGCATGTGTCAAAAACCTACACACATATGCTTTGTTACACAACAATTATGCTTCCAGGAATGTATCCTAAGAAAAATATTGAGCAAAGGCGCACACATATGTGTAGTGTTATCACTTATGATAGTGAAAGATGTTTAAAGTATATATTCTATCATAGGGTAATTACCAATGGGCTACTATGCAGTCATTAAAATTATAGTTATTAACATGAAAAGAGATTCATGACATATTGGTAAGAGAAAAGAACAGCTTACAAAGCATATCATACATACCATATATTCAAAACATTCTTTAAAAAAAGTCATATAGAGATGGTGTGGGGTGTCTCACTTTGTAGCCCAGACTGGTCTTGAGTCCCATGCTCAGCCTCCCAAAGTGCTGGGATTACAGGCAAGAGTCACGGCTCCTGACCCAGAAAACATCCTATTTTTGTGAGAAAAATATATTTGTGTGGATGCATATGCGTTTGGAAGAATATGTACCAAAACGTTACTGGCATTAACTTTCGTTGATGAGATTATGGTTTTCGTCTTTTATTATTGTTATTCTTTTATTTGAATGTTCTCTATTTTCTTGCTCAAAAGCATGCATTAATTGCACAATAAGTTAACATTTTTGGAGGAGAAAAAAAGAAGTAACGCGCTTGCAACGGGACGGCCCAAGCCTAAGTGACCATTTATTGATAAAGCACGCAGGTTCAAAAGTTCTTGGGGCGGTTTCTTTGTGCGCGTGCGCACAAGGCGGGGGTCCACGCTCAGAGCCGTTCGAGCCTCAGGCGCCGCCGAGGCCACCCCAGGCAGCGCGCGGGTCCTGGCGGGGGGGCGGGGCCGCGTAGCCCGGAAGAGAGGTAGTACTGCGCATGCCTCTTCCTTTCCAGCCTCGGCCTCGGACTCCGTAGCCGTCGCGGTGAGTTCCTCTGGGGTTTGGTTCCATCGGCCCCCAATCCGGGCCATCCTGTTACCGTAGTGGCTGCCCCTCCGTAGGATCGGGGCTGAGGATCACTCTACCCCTCCCCACACTTCCATTTCTGAGCAGCGATAGGAACTGGGGGCCTATTTCAGGGGGTAGGGGGCCGCCGGTAGGCGAAAATTGGCGTCCGGATGGCCCAGGGAGGCAGAGGGAAGGTTGAAGCCTTGCGTGGTGGAGACCAGCCAGGCGAGGCTAGGGAGACAACGTCCTGCCTGCACGTTTTTCCTTCGGGACGGGACCCTCCTTCCCGACTGCCTCGTTGCCTGGCCTTGGAACTCTAGTTTGGGGGAGGTGTGGTAGGAAATGGGGTCTGAAGGCCTGTGAGGGGTTTACTCCGGCCTTTCGTGCGTAATTGAAGGCACAGCCGCGCGGTTTCTCACCAGGTACAGTCGCTGATGACTCCCAAGTACTCCCTCCCCTCTCATATGTCTGTCATTGTGAAAACTTACGAAAGCCTGGAGCGAATTTGCACCTTTGTTTTGTTTGACCATTCTGGCACCTTTCTTTCCACCTGAATCGTTGGGGGTGGGGAGGGAGCTGGTCTCTGCCGAGTTTGTTTTGCAGTTTGTAGTTTTCCCCTTCTGTGTGTTTGCTACGGTTTTCCACCCAGTAGGTGGTTTTGTGTGGTCGCTTTAGGGTCATGAACTTGACTGCTGGACCTGGGCCCCATCGCTCAGAAGCGGCTCTTCTTCCTTACAGATGTTGATGCCCAAGAAAAACCGGATTGCCATCTATGAACTCCTTTTTAAGGAGGGCGTGATGGTAGCCAAGAAGGATGTCCATATGCCTAAGCACCCAGAGCTGGCCGACAAGAATGTGCCCAACCTTCATGTCATGAAAGCCATGCAGGTGAGGGAGAGGCTGTTGGAAGCGGGTTGAGATGGAATGGGTTTTCCAGTAACTTTTAGGGCAGATTGCAAGGAGAAGTCACAACTGTGAGAACTGCTTTCCTTGAAGGACAGTGAGATGGATACACTTTCGTTGATGTGAAAACCTGTTTGTGAAGATCCAAGCTCCTAGTTATGTCTTAACCTGCCTTCCAGTCTCTCAAGTCTCGTGGCTACGTGAAGGAACAGTTTGCCTGGAGACATTTCTACTGGTACCTTACCAACGAGGGTATCCAGTATCTACGTGATTACCTCCACCTGCCCCCTGAGATTGTGCCAGCCACCCTGCGCCGCAGCCGTCCAGAGACTGGCAGACCTCGGCCCAAAGGTATGGTGCCCCAATAAATACCTTCGGTCTGTTCGGGGTAGTTTCTTCTGTGTGAGGGACAGAAGTGCTCTTCTGCCACTGGTGGCAGCTTTAGGGGGACTCTAGTGCGTAGACCTTGCCTATGTCCTAGAACCTTTGTCCCTTGGCTCGGACACATAATAGAAGTAGACTCAGGTCTCTGGGCCATCTGTGAGAGGGGATTAAACACAAATAGAATATAAGGCTGTGGCTTTCTTCCCCAGCACCTGTGCAAATATCTACGCATGTGGTAGAGCATGAGAGTAAGTTCAGCAGTGAGAAGTTGTAGCAAAAGCTGTTTATCACATGGGAAAGAAAGGTAGAGTTTTGTGTAGTTTAATGAGCAACAGGAGCCAAAATTGTAAAAGAAATGGAGGAGAACTGATGTGTTTATGCTCATGGTGTGAAAGGATATGCATGTGTTGGTATGTGGGGATTACCTTCTGACTCTTGAGATCACTACTGGCTCACAGTTGTGTTTTGTCAAGGTTGTGGTTCTTTGTCACATGAACTTTGTAGGAGCAGCAGGGTTCGTGGACTTGGGGTGATGAGCTTCAGAGAGTCCTAAACTTAATCAGAGGGTCTAGGTCCCCCTGGAGAGTGACGTGATGGAGCCCAGTAATCTATTTGTTTTTGTTTTTGTTTTTTGAGTTGGAGTCTCACTCTGTCACCCTGACTGGAGTGCAGTGGCCGCTCCTCGCCTGCTGGGCTCCGGCGATCCTTCTGCCTCAGCCTTCCAAGTAGCTGGAACTACAGGCGCGTGCTACCACGCCCGGCTCATTTTGATTTATTGTAGAGATGAGGTCTCGCCAAGTTGCCCAGGCGGGTCACGAACCCGCAGTAATCTATTTGTTATAGCTCCCTAAAAGATTCTGGTGCTTAGGTAGTTTAGTATCTTTTGCGCAAAGATTTTCTACTGCTTCTTGGAATCACGTGGGGGAAAATAGCAATGTCTGTCTGCACTTCATAGGTTTTTATAGTTGGGCCTGGCATTTATTTTTGTTACTACATGATTTTCTCTTCTCAAAATAGATTGAGAGTAAATACTTATTTAAAATAGTTCATATTCTAATCATGCAGACGCCAGGGAAGTTCCAAGGTAACTGTTACAGAGAATATTAGATTGAAAACAGGATCTGTTTTTTTGGCCTTCAGGGAACCAAGTTCCCACATTGCCTTATGTTCAATGTGGTTTACTTTCTGTAGGTCTGGAGGGTGAACGACCTGCAAGACTCACAAGAGGGGAAGCTGACAGAGACACCTACAGACGGAGTGCTGTGCCCCGTGAGTAATGCACCATCCACATTGGGGTGTTGGAGTAGAATCTCTGGATTCTCAGAGTTGTCCCTGGGGCTCAGCCCTTGAGGGTGCCAAGGTAACCAGGCAAGGTTCTTGGTTTCAGGCTCCAGATCATCAGAACTTCTAGTCCTTTGTGCTTCCTCCCTTGTGTAGGGATTTGATAGATGGGAATCAGGAGGAAGGTCCTCTGAGTTGGAGGCACTTAGTTAAAGACTTGAACTGAGCAAAACTGGCAACTTTCAGGAAAGCAATGTTTTTTTGGTTCCAGGTTGTGTTCTGTGTTATAAGCTTCATAAGGGCAGGGCTCACTTAAGTTCATTGCCCTACTTTCTTTTTTTGAATCGGAGTGTCACTCTGTCACCCAGGCTGGAGGCAGTGGAACGTTCCCAGTCACTGTAGCCTTGACCTGCTGGGCTCAGGCGATCCTTCTGCCTCAGCCTTCTAGGTAGCTGGAACTATAGGCACGTGCCACCACGCCCAGCTAATTTTTCTGGTTTATTGTAGAAATGAGGTCTCACCAAGTTGCCCAGGCTGGTCTCAAACCTGTGGGCTCAGGCAGTCCTCTCACCTCGACATCCCAAAGTGCTGGGATTATACGTGTGAGCTACCACATCTGCCCCCCCCCTTTTTTAAGCAGTAATTTATTTATTTGAGTTGGAGTCTCACTCTGTCGCCCAGACGGGAGTGCAGTGGCCACTCCCGGCCACCGCAGCCTCGACCTGCTGGGCTCCGGCAATCCTTCCGCCTCCGCCTTCCCAGTAGTGGAACTACAGGCACACGCTACCACACGGGGTTAATTTTTTGATTTATTGTAGAGATGAGGTCTCGCCAAGTTACCCAGGCAGGTCTCGAACCCACAGGCTAAGGTAATCCACTCACTTTGGCCTCCCAAAGCGCAGGATTACAGGCAGAGCCACTGGGCCTGGCCTAAAGCAGTAATTATTAAGGGAACAGTAAAGCTCCCAGAGTGGGAAGGGACCCAAGGGGTTGCCCTTTTTTTTTTTGAATCCTAGTCTTACTCTGTCCCCTAGGCTGGGCGCAATGGCACACTCACGGCCACCGCAGCCTTTCCAAGTAGCTGGACCTACATATGTATGCCACCAAGCCCAGCTAATCTTTTGATTTATTGTATAGATAGGGTCTTGCCAAGTTTCCTAGGCTGATCTCAAACCCCTGCGCTCAGGCAGTTCTCTCGCCTCCACCTCCCTTTTTTTGGGTAGCAGCAGAGTTTCACTATATTGTCCAGGCTCATCTTGAACTCATGGTCTCAAGCCATCCTCCTGCCTCCACCTCCCAAAGTGCTGGGGGGTGGATTATGGGCATGAGCCACTATGCCCGTCCTGAACTTGCATTTTAGTGGTAAAAATAAGTATATGTTAGATGGTGTCGGTGCTATGGGGAAAAACTAAAGCAGAGTGATGATTTCCTTTTCAGTTCGATTTTTAGAAAAAGTCTTGCATAAGTGAGATTTAATCACGTGCTTAAAGTAGATGAGGGGAGCCAGCCAGTGGCTGTCTAGGGGATGAGCAATCCAGGTAAAGGCCCTCAGGGAGGGCACCTGGCTTGTCTAAAACAGTGGGAGCCAGCTGGAGATACGGATGTGGGTCATGGTAGGGAGTTGGGCTCTTATTACTCTTGAAGAAGGTGGGGAGCCATTGGTAGTATTTTTGCAGAGGAGTAATAAGAGTCAACTTGTTTTTATTTATTTTTAAAGAGTCGCTCTGTTTTGTTGCAGAAACAACTGATTTTTTTAAAAAGGTGTAAAAGAGGAGTTTTTACTAACTTCTACTACTCTTATCTCCTTGTCATCTTTCCTGATTGTTCATATGTAAAAGTAGCAGGGACCACTTGACCCAAGTACCTTATAGGGTAGTGGTAAGAATGAATTCCTCCAGCTCTTGGTTCAGAGTAAGTTGGTGATTGCTCATATTAGCAGTCCTTACACGCAGGGAAAAATCAGTCAGGAAACTGTTCTTTTTTTAAATTTTTTATTTTTATTTTTTTTGAGTTGGAGTCTCACTCTGTCACCCAGACTGGAGTGCAGTGGCCGCTCCCAGCCACCGCAGCCTTGACCTGCTGGGCTCCGGAGATCCTTCCGCCTCAGCCTTCCAAGTAGCCGAAATTACAGGCACGCGCTACCATGTCCAGTTAATTTTTTATTTATTGTAGAGATGAGGGCTCACCAAGTTGCCCAAGCAGGTCTCGAACCCACGGGCTCAGGGAATCCACTCACCTCAGCCTCCCAAGGCATGGGATTACAGGCTGAGCCACCGAGTCTGGCTGGAACTGTTCTTTAGAGGATGTGCCAGTTGGGCCTGAGCCGCAGGGTCCAATGTTAATGGTAATTAACTGAAACATATTCATTATATTGGCATTAGCCCTCACTCCATGCCCCCAACCCCCTATTAGTGATAGATGTAATATAAAGTTCCCTAGTTGCCACGCTTGAAAAAGCAAGTAGAAACAGATAATTTGAATACAAATATACTTTATTTACTCAAATATATCTTTAAAAAGTACAGTGGGCGTGGTGGCTTGTCTCTATAGTCCCAGCTACTTGGGAGACTGAGACTAGTCTGGGCTACATAGCAAGACCCTGACTCTATAAATTAGCCAGGTGTGGTGGCATGTGCCTGTAGACCCATCTACTGGAGAGGCTGAGGCAGGAGAATCCTTTGAACCTAGGAGTCCAAGGCTGCGGTTAACTATAATCTCATCACTGGACTCCAGCCTAGGCAACAGAGAAACCCTATCTTAAACAAATCAGTCAATTAAAAACATCCAAGTGTTGTTCTAACATGTAATCAGTATTGAGGTATTTTATTTTCTTAATTCAAGTCTTGGAAATCTGGTGTGTATTTTGCATACCTCTCTGTTTGAACTAGCAGCTGCCATATAGGACGGGCAGCACTAGATCTTGTGTTTTGCCTGCTTCTCTCCTTTGGCAGTGATTAAGGTTGCTCTTGTGACTGTCAGCCTTCACGACCACTGCCTCTTAGTTCTTCCCTAATTGCACTCCCTTCGTAAGCTAGGTGCTGGTCTGAAGTGGGTGATCATGCAGTGATGGGATGTGAGAGTTCTCGGGGGCTGAACAGGAAGGACACGTGGCATAGGTTTTGTGATTGGGGCAGCCTCCCTGGAGGAGCTGATGTGAGAAGTATGCCCCAGGAGAGGCAGAGGTGGCTTGGAAGGTGTTTCCCACCACTGGTGTAATTTACTTCGTTGGGTGGTATATAGCTTTTCCTGCAAGATTGGCATCCAGTTGTCTCCCCTTGTTCTATGGTAGATTAGATAATGTGATGACTGTAAATTCATGTTTTACTTTCCAGCTGGTGCTGACAAGAAAGCCGAGGCTGGGGCTGGGTCAGCAACTGAATTCCAGTTTGTGAGTATCCTCCTATTTGCTTTCCGTAAGCAGTCACTTGTTCTTGCCTCACTGTGGTGGCTTTGCAAGTTCTAGGGATGTTGTCCGATAGGTCCTCTCTTTTTTTCCCAAATCACTGAAACGAGTCTCACAAATCAATACTGGTACTTTATGTTTTGTTAATGATGGTTATAACCTCCAAAAGAGATTCATGAACTGAAGCTTGAGATTGAACTGAACACTGGCGATGGGTGGGCTCAAGAACCAAAATGATATGAAATCAAATCCTGTACCTTTCAGGTAATGTGGTCTTGGGCAGGTTCCCCTCAACTCAGTTTTCTCACCTATAAAATAGAGGTGATAATTATAGCTATCAAGATAGTTGTGAGATGAGTTCATTCAAGTACAGGGCTAGCATATCACTTGGGGCAACTGTCCTGTGGCAGGTCTTCATAGCACACAACTGCCCTCAGATAACTCATTTGTGAAAAGAAAATGTACAGAATAGAAGCAAGATGGAGTTCTGTGCTGGGTGCTTCTGTATGCACATGTATGAACTCACTGAGTAGGTGTCCATCTTCCCACTTTACTAGTGAGGAAATGGGCCTAGATGTTGGGTGTGGTTCCACAGCTGATAAGGGTTGGGGCTAGGGTTTATTATGGCCTACATTCTCATAGCCATTTACATTTGGGGACCTCTGCAGTGAAAATGAGGCCTGAAAGTTAGCACAGCCTCAAAAAAGACAGAACCAGTGTGCTGCTAATGCTGATGTTAATGTGCTTTCTCTTGCAGAGAGGCGGATTTGGTCGTGGACGTGGTCAGCCACCTCAGTAAAATTGGAGAGGATTATTTTGTGTGGAATAAACTTGTAGCCAGAAAAATTTATTCCTTTATGCCTCTTCTGTTTGCATTGTGTGACCTGAGCAGTAAGTGATTATGGGTCAGAAAGTAAAAGAAGCAAGACTGGATTTGTTTTGGGAATTGACCTTGTCCAGAGTGATGCCACTTTTTGCTGTTAGAGCTCCTGTCCTTGGCTTTGCTCTAACCTGCGCCTTGCCCAGAGGTATTTGGAGAGCTGAGGACCTTCCCATACCAGCCCTACTGACTCTACTTTGTATGGTGAGAAAGTTGTGGTAGACCTGGGATTGAGAGTTTGTCTGCTATCTGGAACTAAGTGCTGGGAAGGAAGGGAGAAAGGAAACAACCAAGGAAATTATGTTTTTGGAATCCTTCACTGACACTTTATGGGGAAGAAGCAGAGGAACTGTGTTTAAGCCAACAATTTGCTAATTCTTCAAAACTCAGGGTTTGTTTACAAGAATCATAAGAGGCTGGGCTCGGTGGCTCAGCCTGTAATCCCCGCGCTTTGGGAGGCTGAGGTGAGTGGATTGCCTGAGCCTGTGGGTTCGAGACCCACCTGGGCAACTTGGATTAGGGTTACCTTGTCTCTACAATAAAATTAAAAAAATTAGCCAGGTGTGGTAGTGCACGCGTGTAGTTCCAGCTACTTGGAAGGTTGAGGTGGATGGGTGGCAAAAAAAAGAAAAACAGATTTGGAAGGGATGATTGCCCAGCCATCCGAAAACCAGCCTGGACAACATAGCAAGGCCTTGTGTCTACAAAAAATAAAAATTAGCCAGGTGTGATACACACCTGTATTTGTAGCTACTGAACCCTAGGAGTTTGGGTCTACAGTAAGCTGTGATCATGCCACTGCACTCCGGCCTGGGCGACAGAGTAAGACATGAACTAAAAAAAATGAGCCAGGCATGGTGGCTCACGCCTGTAATCCCAGTATTGTGGGAGACCATCGCTTAAGCCCAGAAGTTCAGACCCACCTAGGCAATGTAGCAAGACCTCATGGCCACAAAAAGGCCGATGTGGTATGTGCCTGTAGTCCCAGTTACTTGAGAGGCTGAGGCTGCTCTGCATTCCAGCCTAGGCAACAGTGAGATCTCAAAAAAAGAAAAGTACATTGTAATTTTCATAGGACCTTCATGAGTAGTGGCCCAGCATGACATAAGTGAATGGGTGAGAGTAGTGTGTTCAGTCTTCTGTGGTGATGCCAAGTGTGATCTTGGCATGGGTGCCAAAGGGGAACCTTGAGGCCAAGTGAAATGGAGTGAAGGCTATTTCCATGGTCCAGCACTACAGACATACTGTATACCTGGCACAATGCCAGAAGGAAGCCTTGGAGCCAGCCCAGTGAGCTCAGGGTCAGTTCTTCAGACTGCTTCGCTGAACAGGCTACCAGCCTTGGGCTGCAGATAAGTTTCATGACTGGTTGCAGCAAATATGTGCCTATGGGGGAAAAGGGTACTAAAGCTTTTGAGGTACCAGCTCTGAGCCAACTGGTGACTAAGGAGAGGGCCACCAAGGTAAGGTGCCAGAAAAAACAATTGAAATGCGTCTTAGAGGGGTTTGAGAACTTGGGAATCATGTTTGTAGAGTACTATGAACCAAGCATTGTATAGAAATGGGCAATAATTGACTTATCTAAATGAAGGTGGGTGCAGTGGCACACCTGTAAAGAGAGGCTGAAGCAGGAGGATCACTGAAGCCCAGGAGTTCAAACTAGTCTAGGCCATGTAGGGGAGGGGGGGAAATCAAGACATTTAGCTGGGTGTGGCTGATGTGGGAGGATCACCTGAGCCCAGCAGGACAAGTGTTCATGCCACTGCACTCTCGCCTGAGCAGCAGAATGAGACTGACAAAAAAAAAAAAAATCAGATGACATCGATGCTAAAAATTCAACTATGGAGCTGGTTTTGTGTTGGTAACCATCTTTAATACGGTGGATAAACAATGGTAATGACCGGGCTTGGTGGCTCAGCCTGTAATCCAAGCACTTTGGGAGGCCGAGGTGAGTGGATTGCCTGAGCAACTTGGCGAGACCTCATCTCTACAATAAATGAAAAAAAAAATTAGCTGGGTATGATAGCGGCCACGGCACTCCAGTCTGGGTGACAGAGTGAGACTCCAACTCAAAAAAGAAAAAAAATTGTAGTGTAGGCCACGAGGTGGCAGTCGATGGCAACTCCACATATGCACTTAGCTGTTAGTCCTAAGAGGTGAGCTTCGTAACCTGAGCCACCAATAAAAGAGAGGCTTTGGCAGAAAGAGGCAGTGTTTGGGGAAACTCATTTCAGCACAGCCTTGGCTGCCTTGCCAGAGATTGCTTTTTATCCAATTTTTCTGCTGGTTTGAGTGATGTCAAGTGGCTTGCCCATGTTCACACGCCTGGTGATTGTTTAACCTGGATTCTACTATGAAATGCTAGTAGCTCCCGCCTTTCTGTTTTCCACCAAGGCCAGCGAGTGAATGGATTTCCTCTACAGGCTTAGTGATTTCCCTGGCCCTAACATGTCACTTTTCCGCTAGGGTTCTTTGCCAACCTCTTCCCCTTCCAGAATATATTCTCCAAGATTCCCCATGGACTCGGGGAAACCCGAGGAATCTGTAAGGTAGAGAATGTGGATGAAAACATGCGGGTGGAGGTGGGCCTTGTTCCCCGCTGTGGCTGATTGACGGGACCCTGCCAATCAATAATCATATCTCATCTTCTCAACGATGATTGCTGAGAAGCGTTCTGAAAAACAAGATCCAAGCTTTGCCCTTAAGCAGCTCACACTGTAGTTGGAAAACAAAACCAGGGCTATACATGACCACGTGTAACAAATACTCTAAATGGTAATTTGTTGTGTTTGGACTGAGTTCTAAGCAACCAGTCAAGGCGTCTTGAGGTTCTTAGAAAATGAAACTGCTGGTGAATCCCAGCACTTTGGGAGGCGGAGGTGATGAGGATTGCCTGAGCCCACTGGTTCAAGACTAGCCTGGGCAACCTTGTCTCTACAATAAATAAAAAATTAACTGGGTGTGGTGGTGCATGCCTGTGGTTCTGGCTACTTGGAAGGCTGAGGCGGAAGGATCACCTGAGCCCAGCAGCAAGGTCTAGGCTGTGGTAGCTGAGAGTGCACGCTGCACTGTAGCCTGGGTGGCTAGAGTGAGACGCCAACTTAAAAAAAAAAAAAAAATGAGACGCTGGGCACAGTACCTCTTGTCTGTAATCCCACTACTTTAGGAGGTGGAGGTTAGAGGACTGCCTGAGTCCAGGGATTCAGGACCAGCCTGGGCAACTTGGTGAGACTACGTCTTTACAATAAGTCAAAAAATTAGCCAGGTGTGGTGGAGCATGCCTGTAGTTCCAGCTACTTGGGAGCCTGATGCAGAAGGATCACCTGAGCCCAGCAGGTCAAAGCTGTGGTGGCTGTGAGCGTGCCACTGTACTCCAGCCTGGACGACAGAGTGAGACTGACTCAAAAAAAAAAAAAAAAAACTGATGCAAAAGAATTAAGTTGTTTTAGCAAAGCTTGGAAAAAGGGATATTTGAGCCGGGCTTGGTGGCTCGGCCTGTAATAGCGCACCTTGGGAGGCTGAGGTGAGTGGATTGCCTGAGACCGTGGGTTCAAGACCAGCCCGGGCAATTTGGCGAGACCTCATCTCTATAATAAATAAATAAATAAATACCCAGGCATGGTAACACGAGCCTGTGGTTCCGGCTACTTGGAAGGCTGAGGCGGAAGGATCACCTGAGCCCAGCAGGTTGAAGCTGTGGTGGCTGTGAGCGTGCCACTGTACTCCAGCCTGGACGACAGAGTGAGACTGACTCAAAAAAAAAAAAAAAAAACTGATGCAAAAGAATTAAGTTGTTTTAGCAAAGCTTGGAAAAAGGGATATTTGAGCCGGGCTTGGTGGCTCGGCCTGTAATAGCGCACCTTGGGAGGCTGAGGTGAGTGGATTGCCTGAGACCGTGGGTTCAAGACCAGCCCGGGCAATTTGGCGAGACCTCATCTCTATAATAAATAAATAAATAAATACCCAGGCATGGTAACACGAGCCTGTGGTTCCGGCTACTTGGAAGGCTGAGGCGGAAGGATCACCTGAGCCCAGCAGGTTGAAGCTGTGGTGGCTGTGAGCGTGCCACTGTACTCCAGCCTGGACGACAGAGTGAGACTGACTCAAAAAAAAAAAAAAAAAACTGATGCAAAAGAATTAAGTTGTTTTAGCAAAGCTTGGAAAAAGGGATATTTGAGCCGGGCTTGGTGGCTCGGCCTGTAATAGCGCACCTTGGGAGGCTGAGGTGAGTGGATTGCCTGAGACCGTGGGTTCAAGACCAGCCCGGGCAATTTGGCGAGACCTCATCTCTATAATAAATAAATAAATAAATACCCAGGCATGGTAACACGAGCCTGTGGTTCCGGCTACTTGGAAGGCTGAGGCGGAAGGATCACCTGAGCCCAGCAGGTTGAAGCTGTGGTGGCTGTGAGCGTGCCACTGTACTCCAGCCTGGACGACAGAGTGAGACTGACTCAAAAAAAAAAAAAAAAAACTGATGCAAAAGAATTAAGTTGTTTTAGCAAAGCTTGGAAAAAGGGATATTTGAGCCGGGCTTGGTGGCTCGGCCTGTAATAGCGCACCTTGGGAGGCTGAGGTGAGTGGATTGCCTGAGACCGTGGGTTCAAGACCAGCCCGGGCAATTTGGCGAGACCTCATCTCTATAATAAATAAATAAATAAATACCCAGGCATGGTAACACGAGCCTGTGGTTCCGGCTACTTGGAAGGCTGAGGCGGAAGGATCACCTGAGCCCAGCAGGTTGAAGCTGTGGTGGCTGTGAGCGTGCCACTGTACTCCAGCCTGGACGACAGAGTGAGACTGACTCAAAAAAAAAAAAAAAAAACTGATGCAAAAGAATTAAGTTGTTTTAGCAAAGCTTGGAAAAAGGGATATTTGAGCCGGGCTTGGTGGCTCGGCCTGTAATAGCGCACCTTGGGAGGCTGAGGTGAGTGGATTGCCTGAGACCGTGGGTTCAAGACCAGCCTGGG